TGGCAACGTATGGACAAATGTGCTTGATACAATGGATGTATGGATTGTTACAAGAGCTGTAAGAGCCCTCAATAAGATGTTTACAAATAAATAAATAAAATAAAAAGCGATTTAACCATGGGGCGGGGGAGGGTCAGCGATGAGCTTCAAGCAGGCAGGGAGCAGAGGGCATGCCTTCTCCACTCTCGCCATCCTCGGGGTCCCCTGCAGCACCCGGGGCCCACACAGCAGGTCTCTTCCTGAACGCCGAGTGAATGACTACCAGGCACAGAAGCCACTGTCTCCAGAGGCAGACTGGTTTTATGGCCCTGGTGGTGTAGTGGTTACCCCCTAGGCTGCTATCCCCAATGTCAGCAGTTCGAAACCACCAGCTAATATTTGGGAGAAAGATGGGGCTTTTTGCTCCATCCAGAAAGAGTGACAGTCTCAGAAAGCCCCAGGGGCAGCTCTACCCAGTCCCACGGGATCGCAGTGAGTCCGAATGAGCTCAACGGCAGAGTTTGCTCTTTTTGGTTTTAACTGGTGGCATGTCATTAGGAAACCGGCCGTGCAGGCAACAGCCACTGGATGTGCCCTTGGCTGGGAACTTGAACCCGAGCAGCAGCCTGGAAGAGAAGGCTTGGCGACCTGCTCCCACAAGGATGACAGCCAAGGGAACCCTACAGAGCAGTTTACTCGACCACACACGCTGGCCAGTCAACTCCATGGCACAAGTCAATAGAGGATGCTCGGCGCCATATTGGTGTTTCCATGGTCGGATTTTCACCTCCAGGAAGGACACCTGGGCTTGCTCCCAGCCGACATACCTCATGTGCAGTCACCACCCATCTGTCAGTGGGAACTCGTACATGCTTATAAAGTTGAAGAGGCTTCAGCAGCGCTTCCAGACTCAGGTGGACAAGAAAGAAGGGGCTGATGGCCTATCGACTTCTGAAAGCCAGCCAGTGAAAGCCCACGGGTGGGTCCCAACAGAGCATTTTCTGACTGGCAACCAATCACTGGAATGGCATAGGACCAGGAAGCAACTCCTCCCGTTGCGCCTCGGGTTTCCACGGGTCAGGACCGAGTCAAGTGACGGTCAACACCACCACGTGCCAGGACGGCCCGGCCGGGCCCAGGCCTCAGTCATTCCATTGTGGAGCGTGAGCTCTCGGTGGATGGAGGACATGGCCACAGACAGCGTGTTCCCTCTGCAGGATCAAGACACCCAAGACGCTCCAGGGAAGGGAATGACACTTCTTCCAGGGACCAAGGGGAAGGCATCACCAAGAGGGCGGGGGAAGAGGACTTCCTTTTAGGCGCCTCCATCCTGAACCCCACTCCCACCTCTCTACTCAGTCAGCTCCATCAGAAACCCTCTAGGAAAGCAGGCAAGGTGACCAGAGGCTGGGATGCTTGAAGTTCCAAGCTCCCTGTCCCCAAGTCGATGCCAACTCACAGCGACCCCATACGACAGAGCAGAACTGCCTCTGTGAGTTTCCGAGACTGCAGCTCCTCCTGGGAGAAGAAAGCCTCATCTTTCTCCAGAGCAGGCACTTGTGATTTTGAACTGCAGACCTTGCAGGAAGCAGCCCAAGGTATAACCACCCAGCCACCGGGGACTGGGACTGGGATGAGAGAGTCTGAATGGAAGCCAGTATGGAAAGAAAGCCCTTTGGTGCAAAGTTGGGCTCTGACCCATAGGGGGTACCATGGGTTGGACCCCACCTGGCATCATTGGTTTGGTGTCCTCATGGGTGAGGACCATCACCCGACTTGCCCCTGAGTGCCAGTTCCTCCTCCTTCCCTATTTTGCAAAGCCCTAAATGTTTGTCCTGAAATCTGGCCATAGCCTGGGCTTCCTGTTGGACATTTCAGCTTCTTAGAATGCCACAGAAATAGAGGGAAGCAGAAAGGGCAGAGCCAGCCGGGGGAGGAATCTCCTGGACATGGGGAAGCAGTCCTTGGAGGCCAAGGAAAGACTGTCAACATGGGTGCATAAGCAACGTGGTGAAGAAAGCCGATGGTGCCAGGCTATCAAAAGATATAGTGTCTCAGGTCTTAAAGGCTTCAGTGAAACAAGCAGCCATCTAGCAGGGAAGCAACAGAGTCCACATGGAAGAAGCACAGCAGCCTGTGTGATCGTGAGGTGTCGACAGGAATAGGTATCAGAAGTTCAAAAACAAGCAACCAAATTGACGTGAAGGAGCAGAGACAAAGTGGAGACCCCCAAACCCACCGGTAAGATAATTGGGCAGTCCTCATAGAAGGGCCCATGGAAGGGATGATATATCCAGGGTGCAGCATAGCACTGGTGAAACACCTAACTACCTATAGTTCTTTAATATTTCCTCCCCTATTATTATGGTCTTAGTCTTACCTCATTAATCCTGTTAGACCTGCATATGTTCATTTGTATAATTAAGATCATTTGATGCATGAAATTCAAGATCGATAAATGCTTCAGAAGTAGTAATGGGAGTAATGATTCCCTGAGGGTACAGAAAGGGTGGGGGAAGGGAGAGAAGAGGAAACTGATAGCAATGCTGACTATATAATCCCATTCGAGGGGAATGAGTAATAGAATGGTAGGTGAATGGATACATTGAATGGTGGTCAGATAAGAGGAAAAAAAGGATACAATAAGAATAATAATGTTTAATATAATACTGAGGGTTCTTGGGGGTAGGGTGGGTAAGGGGGCATAAAGGGGAGCTGATATCAAAGAGTACAAGACGAAAGAAAATGTTTTGAAAATGATGGCAACCATTGTATAATCATGCTCGATTTAATTGAACTGTGGATTGTTATGATATCTGTAAGAGCTCCCAGTAAAAATGGAATAATAAAAAGAAAAAAAGTAAAGACTGTCAGAACTCAGGGAAAGGTGCCAAGTCTTCCTGCCAACCAGCATTTGTTGAGTTATGTGTGGGCCTGTTAACTGCAAGGTTAGCGGTTTGAAACCACCAGCCGCTCCTTGGAGAAAGTCAGGGCTTTCTACTCCTGTGAAGAGTTACAATCCTTGAAACTCACAGGGGCAGTTCTGCCCTGACCTGTGAGGCTTGGATGAGTCGGCATGGTGTGGAGGGCAGTGAGCTGGTCGCATGGTTTCTGTTGTCTTGGAAGAAGTGTGGACAAAGTGCTCCTAGAGGCAAGAATGGCAAGGCTTACATTCCTTGGACAGGCTGTCCGGAGAGACCAGGCATCGTGCTTGGCAGAGGGGCAGCGAAAGAGAGGAGGACCCTTGACAAAATGGACGGGCACAGAGGCTGTAACAAAGGGCTCAAGCACAGGGACACTTGTGGGGATGGCGCTGGACTGGGCAGTGTTCCGTTCTGTTGTGCACAGGGTCACTCTGGGGCAGAGCCGAGTGAGTGCCACCTACCA